GGGGGCGGTGGAGCACGGGCTGGAGCAGAGGGGAGAAGGCCCCTGCCCCTCCCGCTGCCGCCCCCCCGGCTCCTTTGCCTGCGCCGAGGCCGAGCGCGGGGCGGTGTTCGGTATTTATAGAGAAAAACTGTAAAACTACCGTGATGTTTTTCAGAGCTCGTTACTTGGCCTCCTCGGGGGCAGCCCCTCCTGCTGGGGCCTCGGGCAGGAGATGTTTGGCCTTAGGGTCCTCGTTCGCAGAAGTTCCTCAAATAGCGCAGAGGCCGTTAAAAAGATGCTTGTGTAACATGGTGACAGCCAAAATTTGTAACTAGGCTTTATGTAGCTTTTTAGTTGAAATAGTTCCACGCACTCAGCAGATTTTTTTAAACTGTGTCAGCATGTACACACCCCGCTCAGAGAGGGGCCTTTGCAGCTTCTGTATCTTTTAGAGTAAATCTTGGTGGCCTTATTTCATAATTCTCTTTATTTTTTTTCCCCTCTGCTGGACAGGTTTGCTGTAAGTGTTGGCTACTGGAAGGACCCTTACATCCAGTATTTTGTGAGACAAGCCAAAGAAAGAAAAGCACCCGAAATCAGTAGAGGCAAGTTGGCGTGTGAATGTGAATGAAGACCCTGCAGACGTGTTCTTAAACGGCCTTCAAGAGCACCTGACAAAACCTCTGTACACAGGGTATTGGGGAGTGTAGGAGAAATGTAACAGAAGGAGACAAGTTTTCTTCACAGTAGTAATTCCATGCTGTGTCTAATCTTTTAAATATTAATCTTTAAATCACAACTCTTGTCCTTTGCTTTCTGTATTCTGAATGGAACGTCTCTGTGTGTCTCAGCATGCGATAATCTCTCCAAAGCAATCACAAATGTTGATTTGACCAAGGACAGCAGGGTGTGTCAGCTCTGGTCTCCGCAAAAGTGTGCGCACCAGCTAGAGTTATTCTGCTCGGTTTGAGGTGAAACTTGACTAAAACTTTTATTTGCCCAGGGAATCTTGCTTTATTGGTGTGTCAGATTTTGTTAGTAATCAAAAAAACCCAAAGACCTTGAAGTATCTTAAAAAAAGTGCATTATTCTTCGTAAGAAACACCATTTTTTAAAATAGACTAGCTAAAAATCTTGGTGAGCATTAGGCATCAAGTGTTACATGAATATAAGAATTAAAAACAAACTTTTTTTTTGTTACCAGGCTATTATGCTCGTGTTCATGGAGTCAGCTATCTGATTGAAGCTTTTCTGAAGAAGACAGAATGCAACTGTCAAATTGTTAATCTTGGTGCTGGCATGGATACCCTGTTCTGGAGATTAAAGGTAGTGATAGCCGAGAGTAGCAGCCTTGGCTGAAGGCAAAGATCTGGGTGGACATCTGAAGCACTCTTCTGTGAGGGGTTGTTGGTGCTGCAGTCTGTAGCACAGCGCGGAGCTGTGCGGCGAGGCTGACTGCCCTGGCTGGTCTGCTGCACTTCTCAGCTTGCTGAGAATTAGTTTGGGTGCCTCTAAACCTCACTGAGCAGGAGGGGCTGGGATTTTCACTGGCTCTTTCGAAAATGCACTTGACGTAAAGCTGAGCTCTAGTGGACTCTCGGGAATGGAGCTTGAACTCCGCATTTTGCTGTCCTCTTACAGTCTTAAGATTTCACTTTTTATCCTATATTAAAACAGGAGCAAGGTGCCAAAGTACAGGATTGTACAGGCTCTATTTATATGTTTCTGAATTATTTATATAAATGTGAGTTTATATGTGTAAATATGTGTCTGTTTGTATGCCTGTCTGTAATTCACAAAAGTTCAGATGACCTAGATATTACGTGATAGTATCTTTCTGAGTGAACACACCTGTAAGTCCTCTTGTCTGCTCATTAGTATTTACATTTGTAAATGTAGTTGCAGGAAGAAAGCCCAGGGATGCCAGTTGCATTTTGCTTGGTCACAATTCATTAAATTTCAGTCAGTGGAAGGGAAAAAATAATGCACTTTTTCTGAAATGTAGAGGTTTTTTCTTGTCTGCATTCCTATAAAAGCTATGCCAATACACATTTTTATTACCTTTCCTGTAACAGTGATTCTAAAAGGTGAATTGAGGCCTGTAATTCCAACTCTTTATCCCTGTAACGAGCAGGTGTGGACTAATTAACGTGCAGAAGACAGACCCAGTTAACCGAGTGCCTCAGCGTTCTGCCTACTGATTTAATCTAGTGTTCAGAAATTCATGAGGTTGACAAGCTAGAACTAGCAGTACCTCTCCCTCACAAAAGGATTGCTGCATCGGGAGAAGCTTGGTGCAGCTTATCTGTCAGCGTGTCAAACGTGTTTCTGTAGCAGAGGAACACTGATGCGCTTGCAGTCTGGCTGTGGGTTTGAGGGCAAACTGGGCAAGGTGGTCACTTTGTGTAAACCTGTGCAAAGTGTTCCTGATTCCCGTCTTAGAAGAATACTGACGACGCGTGGTAAATGTCGTAATAGTTTCCTGTTGCTGTACTCTGCAGGATCCTGACAATATATTGTTGGAATATATGTTGCAGTGATCTAGTGTCGAGGACTGCTGCATTATGTAAAAAGTTCAATAATTTCCTTAATGCTTAGAGGACATACTAATGTTTCTCAGCTAGTTTTGTTGGTTTTTTTTTTCTTTTAAGCAGTAGGACATTATGTTATACTACTGCGACAAATGCCAGTGTAAATGAAAACAAAACTGTTTAGGACTTATATTTTTTTTGTCATGTGCATGTGAAACTTCCATGTCCCTAATTCTAGAGTCTTACTCCAATTCTCAGGATGAAAATCTTCTCCCTAAAAAATATTTCGAAGTGGATTTTCCAATGATAGTTGCAAGAAAAATACATAATATCAAGTAAGTATAACAACTACGTTTAGCTGTGTGAAACTGAATGTAATTCAGCAAAATGTCATGAGTTGAAAGCCACAATTATTTCATCTCTCTTCTGAGAAACTCTTCGTGCTCCGGGGTTTCAAATAAAGGTTTCATTATGCAGACAGGTCGTACATGTGACTGCAGCCACTGTTCCACATTGGGGAAGTTGATCTGTGGAAGCTTTAGGGAGGCAAGCAGACTGTATTCTTAATTATGTAAAATGTAATGAGCAGGGGAAGCCGCGTGATGGTTAGAGGCAATGAAGTGGTCTTCTCTTACTGTTGAAGACAGGAGTAAGTTCCCAGAGCTGCATGTTCAATTGGAGAGGTAGGATAGCTGGTACTACACGTGAATATTCTGTTTGAATGAATATGCTGAGGCTTCTGGAGGACACTTGAAGAGAGTGTCTGCATTTCTCTTGAAAGATTACCTCAAAACATAAGAGTCATTGGGCATAAAACTCAGCTGCAACTTATTACAAAGTCTAACTTGCAAATGTTTTTATTTCCAGTAGAGGGCAGAGGTATTCTCTTGTCTGTTTTTAACAAGCACACACATATATATATATATATGTTAAAAAAAAAAAAATATTTGAAGCACACTGTTAAACGAGCTTAGCTGCTCAGAGATGCTTCTTCCTTCTTCCCACAGATCAAAACCTCCCCTGTCAAAACCAATTATGGAATCCCATTCAGGAGAGTCTCTTCTAATAGGTGAGTCATCTTAAAAAGAAGTCAGCAATGTACTGCAGCACTTTTAAAACTTTTCTGATCATTTTGTTCTGCTATGTGGGCAGGCTTTTAATCTTTGAAATGCTGTTTGGACAGAGAATTGGGAGGGAAAAGAGGCTTTTTTCTTCTCTTACAGACTCCTGCCCATTTGTTCTGTGTCGTGTTAAGAAATATCTTCCCTCGAAGTAGTTTTATTCTGCCAGAGGGTTGTTGGGTTTTTTCCTTTTTCTCTCATATGTAGCTTAAGTTTTGTTTCCTTTTCTGTCACAGAAAAGGAAAAATGCTACTGATAGCCATGTATACTGGATTAAAGTATGTATTGAGTGTTTTCCTCTGTCTTCTTTATGTGTCATTGGGAGCACAAGTCTTTATGTTTAGCGGAGCCTTCACAGCAGAAATGCAGCCTGCAAAGTCCCTGCTCGGAAGCCAGTGCCATTTGTTACTTTTTAGTATTAAGAGGATACTAGATTCAGGTGGTGTCGTGTGATTTTACTGTCTTGGCTCGTAGCCTCAATAGGTTTGTGTCAGGATTGTAATTTGAAAACCTCTGTACTTGTGGGGGAAAAAAGCTGGGTTCTGCTGAGTAGTGGGTTCAGTGTCCAAATAGCAGATACTGCACTGCACAGCAGCTGCTTTGGACCCTTTAGGAGGAACAGTAATTGTCTGGGTCTACAATGCCAACTAGTTTGTGTTAGCAGATGAGACCCTAAAACAGAGCTAGCAGCGTTGTACGTTCCCCAATGTGATTACATCTACAGGTGCTTTTAATAAGCACAATTCTAGCTGAGGGTCTGGAGGGCTTGAAAGGGCCCTCTCCAAAGAGCGAGGAAGGGTACAGAGGGAGGAGGTGTGCCTGTGCTGCCGGCCGGCAAGGCGTAGGCGCTTGGCCCCGAGGCTCTTGTAGTGCCTTCACTTGGATCAGTGTGGGGAATGATTTCACGGACCCTGATCTTGTGCTCAATCAGAATCATTTTATTGCTCAAGCGAACACCTTTTATACTAACACAATAGTTACTAGAGCCAGTCAGCTTTGGATTCATGGCTTTGCAAATGCCAGTTCACGGGTGCTGTTTTCCAGGATCTTTTGCAGCTGGATGTGTGCAAACAGCTTATCTCCTGAGAACGGAGAAGGGAGACACAGGACGCGCTGATCCTTCAGGGTCTTGAGACAGTGCTGTTCTGTCTTAAGTTATGCGGTTTCCCACATCAGAGTACTGCCACACTGACCTGACTGTGTGGATTTATGCATATTATGGACATTTATTGCTGCATATTAGAGGGTCTTAACTTACCAACCTTTTAGGTGTCGTTTGAATGGCAGGATTCTCCATGGTACGTTCAGGTCTCAAAAAATGAAAGCCCTCGCCCCATCTCAGAGAAGGGCTGGTGAGTACCGATGTGTTTCAGCTGGGAGACCTGCTTGTGCGTGCAGTGGGGAATGCTGCATGAGCACTGGTAAGAAGGCATTAATAGAAGGTTGGTCAGAGGGGTTTGACAGCATTTCTGTTACTGAACAGCTGTAGATATGTCTAGTACAGAAAAACAACTGCAAAGTTACCAAGTTGCAGCGGTGTATTGTAATCAAAAGCTATTAATTAGCAAGTCACAGCAGTCAACAGCAATTAATGTATCACTGTTTGAATGTCTTGGAGTGGCTTATTTCTCTAAAGCTGTTTCTCTCATTCTTTCTAAGTGCTTGGTTTTAAATAATTTAGAGTAGCCATTTTACTGTAACCCGGCTGATGTCAGCTCTACTGCACTGAGTGCTTTGGGATGTAGCATAATGCCCGGGTATTTGGAGATGCTGGAAGTCTGCTGTGGAATCCCAGTTTGAACTGGCACTCAGTAACCACCAGTCAGTTATGTGGGAATTCTCATTTAAGGACGTATTAATGGCACTGCTTCATGTGGAAGCGCACCAGAAGAGGCTATGGACTGACTAGACAAATCAAACGGATGAATAGAGATTGCTTACAAATCTAGAGGAACTTGTTAATGAATTTGCTCAGCTACTAACTGGTATATACTCTCTGATTTTAAAACTGTCTCAGTACCTGAGATCTGTGACTCAGATGGGCTCCAGGAGAAGTCCAGGGACCCACAAATCAGTAGGACTGATGTCTCTACTGGCCAAATTAGTAGAAACTGTGACAGACAGACTTAGTGAAACACAGGAGTAATATACTGTGTTGAGAAAGAGTCAGCATGGCTTTTGTAAAGGTAAGCTATGCCTCACAAACCTGTTGGAGTTCTGTTGGAAAAAGACATCCAATTAATACAGTGCTTGAATTTAAAAATGTGTTTTGACAGTGTCCCTTACCAAAGTTTGCCAAAGAAATTGCACGGTTGTTGTGGGGAGAAGGAGTGGTTCTCATACGGATAGAGAGCTGGGGATGGAGGGTAGGCATATGTTGTTAATTTTCATTATGGAGGGAGATGGAGATCTGTGCTCAGGGACGTGTTGTTTTTCAACACTAAGAAATGATTGGGAAAATAGAGTGACTGTAAGTGGCAGCTTGTTGGCAAGTCCAAACTCTTCAGAGTGGGGAGGAACTGTAAAAGAATCTTGTGAAGTTAGTGACTTGGTGATAAATTCAATGCAGATTAGTATAAAATCATGCGCATGGGCGGAAAAAATAGTTTGTGCCTCACATGTAAATGGTAGGCTGCTGGCTGATTATTGCTGCCTGCGTACAAGATCTGGGTGTTATAATAAATAGATATATGAAAACATCATGAAATCCAAATCAAGTTTAAGGATTCTTGGAAAAAAGATAGAAAACAACATAGATGCCATTGGCATCTGTGAGAGGCAGGGTACCGTACCTGGGGGGCCTTTGGTCTGACCTAATACAGCTCGTAGACTGGGGCGGTGTTCTGGGAATACCGCCTGTCGTAGGGATTGTGCTGGGCCCTGAAGAAGCAGCGTTTCCAGGTGGGGAAATGTTACTGATTTTTGTGGGTTTCGGGGTGGGGATATGGACCAGGAGTTTAGAATCTTGGGGAGGGAGGTTGTCCCGTCTTGTCCCCACCCCCCCCGCGAATCGGTTCTACGCTGCTGGCTCATGTATACCAGGAATGATTTGTTTAGGTGCTTTGAAATTTGAGTTTTGAGTTGTCGTAGTATTGATCAACATGACTTCTGTTCCCTTGCTGCTTTTTTTCTCACACTAAATGTTATCATTACATGAAGCTAGCCCTAATAGACAACTTTATCAGCTTCAGGGCAACATCTGCTTCCTCCTTGCCCTTTAGACAAAGCAGTGACAGCATGGCTTGCCGTTCAAGTAGATATCTGTGGCCTCTGCCCTTGAATGCAGCAAGATGACAGTTGTCATTGAACAGCTTTCCTAGGGAATGTTAGATCTGCAGGGGAAAGCAGTGAATTTGTGCAGCAGCTTGACATTGCTGTGGCAATATCAGGTTAAATTGTTTTCAAAGTTCAATGGCATTACCTGGTTTATGATGCGGTTGCTAGCGTTGGGAAGTCAGTACTCCACCTTTGCTACCTTTCAGAGCAAATTGCACTTCAGTGAACTCTTACCTTTCAGTGCCACTCAGACACTTTCTGGCCCTGGGTAGTCCGGCAGTGGGAGTTGTTTTAACTTCCTTTTTGCTATGTTTCTGGACTTGTTTGTGACCCAGCACAGGGTCGGGGTGTTGCTGTCTTGGTGACTGGCATGCCTTGCGTTGGGGTGGTCCTGCGCTTGCAAGGTGAACTACGTTTCTTTGTGTGTTGACACGAAGCCTGTTCTGCTGTTGTAGTTACACAGCCTGCGTGAGACCGACGCTGTGTCCTGCCTGCGAGCTGGCAGAATAGGTTGTATGGGCTGGTTGGTTGTAAAGCTGCCAAAGATACCTTGGGATGAAAACCCTAATGAAATCAGTGTGAGTCGGTAGTATCCTGCATGCTGTCTCTTGGAAAACCTCCAGGAAATTGTTTCACTCGTCTGAGAAGAGAGCAAGAAGAGAAAACTGAATTCTTGTAGCAGAGGAAACACTGCACTTCGTGCGCCTGTGATTCTATAATGCTGCTTCAGCAGACGGATCAAGGTAGCGGTTGAGTGCCCGAGGGCAACCATAAAACACCATTTACTTGCTGGTGGCATGTTTCTATGGAAAAAAAAAATTTATTGCAGAGGGGTCAAAAGACAACTATAAGCAACTCCTGCTACTATTCAGTTACTGCAGTGATATCTAAATGCAAACCACTTGTATTGTTAGTTGTGTGCCAGAAGTCATGGAAAATATACGTACAAGTGGGGTGATCAGAGCGAAATGTTCGCTGTGGCAGTGTGCGAGGGTGACAGAAGCGTGCACCTAGGCCGAGAGCGCCTGCGCTGGGTGGACGGGGTGGGCTGGATGGTGGGGCTCCTGTCCTTTCAATCCTTCGCTCTCCCCTCCTTTGTGTTTCTCAGATGAAGTCTGAATCTGGTATGTCTCAAACCTTCATTTCAGACAAGTACAAGAGAGAAACTTTGTACGTAACTGAGCGTGCTGAGTGTGAGCATCAGAAAGAGAACCGTAAGGTAGCTCCGTGCTCTAGAAAAGAGCATCATGACCAGGCAACTTTGCTAAAACCTAGGATGAAGCATTGGCACCTGGACAGGAATTAGTGCTTGGAATAGGGGATTTTCAATGGGTTCAGCCACCGGGTGTTGCTGGCTGTGCCAGCATTAGGGCAGTTGGCCTGGCTCACAGCAAGGTGGCCCAGTGTATTTGAGAACTGTCGCTGACTTACGTGTTAGTGCAGCGTGGGTGATGTTCTCCGGCCGGGAGGGAAGGCAGCAGCGTTCCTGGCAGCGGCAGAGCTCTGATGGCGTGTGATGGTTTCTCGTCTGTGGAGAGGTCACTGTGACAGACACCTTCAGGAGAGCGAGATTACAATGAGAACAAAAAATGTAGGGTTTTTTAAGACTGAAAAAATTAATTCAGTTAAAAGAAGCTTCTTGTTCATAAGAAGAAATCAATGGAGACCGTGTGGCTGTGCTACCAAGCTGAAAGTTGCTATTTCTAAAGGCGGAAGCTAGCAGAACATCTCACAAGGAAGTTTGGAAGAGGCTTAGCTTAAGTTCTTTCCTCTTGCCTTTTTTTCCTTTGCCTCTCTTTTGGTGTTTTAAAATTGACTGATGTAAATTTCATGTTTTTTCCGTAAGACTTCCTTCAAGATAAAAGTCTTGATCATAAACCTTGAAATATGTGAATCAGGGACATATTTAATGAGGTGCTTTCAGATATGTTTAAAATGTATGATTTTTAGCAATTGTGTCAGCTTGTGTATGATGTGTGTGCAGCTCTGCCTCGGTACTGCCGGCGGTTGTGTTTGCCAACAACCATCAATGGAGAGCTGAGGGAAGCTGGCAGGGAAACGTGTGGAGAAACAAGGACATTCTGTTTGAATGGACCAAAGAAGGAGAACCAGGCAGCCTGGACCTGTAGATGGAAGTAAAGGGACTGCATTTGGAGTAAAAGGCTTTTGAAGAGAGGAAGGCAATCCATTCCTCAGCAGATTCTTGGCCTTTGAAAAGTTTCTGCTGCAAGGAGTCCTGTATTACAGCATGAAGTATACTTGGCTTTAAGGTTTGAAGAGTATTTCTGCTGCACCAAATCACCCTTGAAGAAACCTGTTCTGGTTTGGTGCTTGGGTTTTTTTCCACTAGTTAATTTTGAATATTCAGGCTAATCTGGCTGTTTATCTTGTCCACAACCTACATCTCCAAACCCAACTGTCTGCTGGGCTGCACCGCTCAGCACAGGGATCGCCCAGGTTGCATCCTTTGGCCATCCCCTCTCCCACCACATCAGAGGTAACAGAAGGTCTGTGGGGTTTGTTCAGGCCTAGACAGGCTTATTAAAAACAGTGTTGGTAACTTTGGGTGCGGAGATCAGAGCCATTTTGAAGGACAGTTTTCTAATCTAGTGTTTGAGAGGTTTGCTCTTTCCTGTTCTTCACTGATAAAAATACTTGAGTCGACGTGGTGTGAGCAAGAGACATTTACTTCCACCTCTGAAGTGTTTGCACTGCTACTGTTGCTGGAGCACTTTAAAATTTTTTGCAGTTTATTTCTGGCTATAAGTAATGTACTAGTACATCCAAGTCAATGAAGCTGGACAAGAAGATTGCATTAATTTCGTTCTAATTGTAGCGACTGACGCTTACTGTGCCGCATCTCCGGACAGCAAACCAAGCACTGTATGAATACTTTCCTCTGTGTGGTGGGTTTTTTGTGTGACTTTTTTTGATGCCATTATCATGGCCTTGATATAATAACTTAAATAGAAGGGTGTGGGTAGTAGTAAAGCTATTACAGAACATGCACATGTTAAAAAGCCTTGACTCAAAATGTTGAATCATTTGCCACACAACTTTTTCTTTTTTTCTTTTTTCTTTTTATTTTATTTCTTTTTTCCTCCCTGTAGCTCTCTGCACGGGCTGTTCCAGTTTCTCTATCTGTTCAGAAATGTTGCTGCAAAGACTGCTATTGTCACTTGCTAGTGCCATTTTCAAACAGTTGGTCACTTGAAAACTAAATGGAGGCACATCTTCCAGCATGTTTGAGGCGCAGCTTAATTTCAAAAGTTGCCTTGCTCCCTCCCCCAGTTATTTTTTTTTCCTCTCCTGAAGTGGAAAACCACTTTCACCCTGTCTCTTCAGCAACTCGGCTTCTCTTCCTCTCTTCGCCCAGCCCTTGACGTCTGCTCCGTGCTCCCGTCGAGGAGCTGTGTCCGTCGGCAGCGGGCTCCCCAGGGAGCTGTGCAGAGCTTGCTGGCAGCCCGGCGTCGCCTGGCCATCGCAAGACCGCGCCACGCTCTGACTTTGGCTTTTTTACACTGTTGAGTTCAGTTGTTTCACTGCTTGCCCTGCCGTGCTCGTATGGGAAGAGGGGAAAATTATGTGCTGTTCTGTCCTAGTGGCTTCACTGCAGTACAGCTACAGCGTGAAAGAGCAAGCTGATACATTCCCGCAGAACTTTACGTCTTGAAGTGGGTTTGATGCTGCACTTGTGAAATGGTTTGTATGGGCACTGGCCTCATCTAGTTGAATCGATTGCAACTGGTGGTCAGAATTATTGATAGCAGGATGCTCATGTTGCTGCTGGCTGCCTTACAGGCTTGCTAGCACGGCAAAGTGTCTTTGGACTTCAGTATTAGTTCCTCCTTCATGCTGGAAAGCGTTTACAGGAGCCTGCTGCCTGTTGTATCTCAGGATGAATATTTCTCAGAATACCTTTTCTAATTTGACTCGATGCTTAAATACCATTGCTAGATCATACAAAAGAGCTAAATGATAACTGTTTTTGGCTCCCGAATCTGTGTCTGATACCCATATATATTATATAGCTGTATGTATTGTTAATTTCTATAGCTATGTCTGTTGTTATCATTTAGAACATTGTTACTCTGAAATTAGTTTTTCAGAAATTGATGTATAGATATTTTTTTAATATACTTTCTTAAGTATGTATGTTAGTCTAAAAAGACTCTGCAAACAAAAGGGAAAAGCCCTGCCTTTAGTCCTCACATTTTTTTCTTCTCTCTGCATTGCTTGAAACCATGGTAACGGATGGGATAACCTATCTGCATTCGAGTGGCTGCGGAGTGGAAGATGAGGCTTGTTGCAGAGTCTGGTGCTAATATATCACCACCTGTAAACCACTACGATGCGGTGTAAGGGAAATTAATCTTTTAGAAAGAAGAGTTTGCTATTGATTGTTAGGTATAACAGAACAAACTTTGACTTCACATTCGTATGTCCCCATGTGGGTTTTTTTCTCAATTTGTAATTTCAGCATCCCTCTTATTTCTAACGGTTGGTCTCTCAAAATTTTAAACTTGCAGATTCTCACAGCCTAGACTCCAGTCGATATTCCATAGTAGGAGCAGATCTCCGTTTCTCATCAGATCTGGAGGAAAAGCTAAAGAAACATAACCTGGATATACAGTAAGATTACTTTTTTTTAATAAAAATTACTGTTTTGATGAGGGTTTGTGGAAACACACTGATGAGAGTGGAGTCAGGCTTGGGCGTACAGTATCTGCATCCAGGGCTCATTATGCTATTTCCATGGTTACCTTTTCCTGAGCCCTTTGAGCGGAAGGAATTGTTCAGACACCTCATGCAGCCTCACTGAGCCGAGCAGGCTGGCACTGCCGTGACTGCTCGGTAGCTCCAAGTCTGAAGCAAGGTTGTTCCTTGCGTCGTCTATTCTGCAAACTGCGTTTTCGTCCTTCCTGAGAAGGTCAAACGTTGCAGAACTGTTTGCTTCTTGGTGTTAAAACGCTGCAGGGAATGAAGCCTGGCTGTCTGTGAACATGTTTCTGGGGGCTGGTTCTCTTTGGGGTGTATGATCCTTTCAGACCAGTTAGAGCTCTTGTGTGTGGCAGGGCAGGCAGCTGTAATTCCTTCTTGTTCCCCCCATCCCTGGCCCTGGAGGGGCTGAAATCCTGCTGCAGCCATTTTCTGCCTCAGAGCTCATACGAGTTTCTTTCTCTGCTGCACGGATTTAACTCTGTTTTAGAGATTTCTAAAAGAGTTATCTCTTGCTTGAATTTGGTTGAAATTTAGTTAACAGAATCATGTTATTCAAGGGGAATCTCTAAACTAGAGATGTAGCAAGGTGTTGTAAATTGCTTTTTTGAAGAGTTCATTCAGTGGCATTTAGCTTTACTGCTGACTGATGGGCAGTACCTAGATCAGCGAACATCTTCCACCCCTATTGTAATGTCTGGAGGAGTCAAGATTTCTGGGAGCTTAGCTGGTAAAACGAAGGGTAATTCTCTCTGTTAAATTATTTCAGAGTTTTATCTTTGTAATTATTTTCTATTGCCTCCATTTAGAACCCGTATTGTTCCCCAGACCTTTTGGTAAAGCGATTGCCATGGGGTCCTTTGAGAACTTAACTCGGGAAGCTAATATCTGGGATTTTATTGTTCAAGTGTGAGGCTTCTGCAGGGGGCAGATTTAAGTTTCTAGAGTGGATGATGGACATACCTTTCAAATATAAGATCTATAAATATCGGCTATCTGGCTGGGTGGGAGAGAGCATATGGGCAAGCAGAATGCATCAGATTGCCATTTAAATCTTTACACTTCCATCTTCTGAAATCTTGCCTTGCTTGCCTACATTGCTGCTCCTTGTAGAGTTTCTCCTAGTTCTAGGGACTTTTCTTTTTCCTGTTCAGATTAGCAATTAAAAGAAAACTCCATAATTCTAAGGAAAATTACTTGTGTAGATGTCTATTTTTGTTTTTTGTGGATGGAGGGGGAAGAGGCAATGTGCAAACTGTAGATTGCATTTTTTTAGATAATAATATGCAAAGCTTATTTTACAGATATTGAACAACTTTGTGTAATTAAAATTCTTCTCAAAACTTTTTTTAAAGAGAAAACTTTTTTTTTTTCAATTTGTATTTTATTCCTTATTTTACTGATCTCTAAAAGAGTGCGGATTATATATATAGGGTAAAAGTCTCCTACAAAATGAATTTTAGTATGCACTTCAGTTCATGTTCTCACAGTTCAGGAAGGACTTAGAGAATACTCATTCTTCTGTGTTTGTAGTACGGGGAGACTAGGGGAGATTGTTTCCTAATATCTCTGTTTTGTAACCGTGGGAGTCCCCTGTCGACTGCCAGAAAACCCAGTTCCAGTCAATTTGATGAAGTGATTTCATTCAGTCTGAAATGTCTAGTTCATAAAAGTGGAGGTCCTTTTAAGAAATTGTGGGGACATTAAATTACTTGTTTGCTAATAATTCTTTATAGATTTTTCATGTTCTTTTGCTAGAAACAGTTCTCTTGTTTTTTTTTGTTTTGAAGTTTGCCAACGCTTCTGGTAGCAGAGTGTGTGCTGGTTTACATGACACCGCAGCAATCTGCAAATCTTTTAAAGTGGGCAGCAAGCACTTTTCCAGTGGCGATGTTTATAAATTATGAGCAGGTAAAACAAAAATGGCATTTTTAGACCTGCATTATTGTCATAAAAATTGCTCTCAAAAGTGGGAGTTCTGCTTGAAAAATAAGTGGGCCATATCCTTCTGTATCAACAGCAGTTTCTTTAGTACTGTGTTTTATTTTGTAGATCTGTTAGCTCATTGTAAAGAATAGATAGCTATTCTGAAAGGCGGTTGCTGGGCTATATTGAACCAAAAGAACAGAGACTTAGTCCGTATGTGAAGAAAACCATAGAATGTTTGTTTAGATAAGACAGGAAGAAAAAATTATGCCGAATATTGGATGTGAGTGTAGAATATTTGATAATTACGTCTATGTGTTCTGTGGCAAAGTGGAGCAAAAGTCACGTCAGCGTGGACTGACCTTCTCTGTGTGGAAGTAAAATGCTGCCTCGGGGGAACTAGGTAGCTCCAGGAATTAGTAACAGGATCTTCCAAGCTGTAAATCGCTGCCAGAGAGCTGAACCAAGCTGCTGACAGCTTAAAGCAGAGTCCGTTGTCAGTGCCCAGCGCAGAGTCCCTGTCTCTGCAAAGGCAGCAGTGTTGTCACCATTTACTGGCACTCAACTGGTAAACGTGAGATAGCTGAGGAGGTCGTGTCAGTGGGAAGTGAGACCCGGTGTAAGAATATGTGAAACCTACTTTAATGTTACCCTATACGTTGTATGACATAGATAATTCAAGAGTTTAACCAAGTTACTGCTTTTCACTGCGATTACGTTCTTCTCGGAAGGGGGAACACTTTTGTCTCATTCTCTACCTGAGGTGAATATGTCGGACCGGTTTGGACAGATCATGATTGAGAACTTGCAGAGGCGACAGTGTAACCTGGCTGGAGTGGAAGTCTGCAGATCCTTAGACTCTCAGGTAAAGAGGCACAGAGCTCTGGGTGTGTTCAATATTAAACTTAATTAATCTGTCTGCAAATTCTGCCGCTGTGTGTGCACTGTAAGAGCAGTGACCAAAGCAGGTCTGAGGTGGGGCAGCTGCTGCCGACTGAAACCCTTTCCTGTCCGTGTTACGGCGGTTCCCTGTTATCAATGCTAGACATCCCTTAGTGTTTTGGTAGTTGTACAAAACCTGCAGCAGATCAGAGCGCAGCTCCGTCTAGCCCGCTGTCCTCTCTGTGCAGAGGTTAGCAGCAGATGCTTAGAAAAGTGTATGAGAGCTCTTCAAAGGACAGGTCAAGCAGATGGCCTACAAAATGCTTAGGGGGGAAAACCTCTGGTATTTTTCCTTGAGTCCTCTGAAAACTGTGCTGTTTGTTTGTTTTACAGAGGGAACGATTGCTGTTAAATGGCTGGGAAACTGCACGTGCCATTGATATGATGAAAGTGTACAGCTTTTTGCCACAGGCTGATGTCAAAAGGTATTACTGATAGCTCGCTTGCGGCCAGAAGTCGTCTTCAGATGCCATTTTCCAAGGTAGCTCACGTCAGTGTGTAGTCTGGGATCCCCCAGTATAATGGAGAGGAGGCTGCGTGCAGATGCTGACTGGGCAGACAGAATGTGTCTGAGTCTGAAGCTCGGCAAAGCCTCAAGGATAGCGCCTGGAGCAACGTTAATGATCCAGGGGGATCCAGAAGTAGGGTGGCAGTGGTGATGATTTATTTGGGTGCAATAGAAAGCATCTCATGACAGAAAGTTGCAGATAAAAGATGCTACAGAAATGCTGTCTTGAGTTTTTACAGTACCTGAGATGTTTCTTGTGAACATCCAGCCTCCACAACACTAGGCGGGTGGAGCAGAGTCCTAAAACAGGGAGCCACTTTTCATGTGCCAAGGCAGATGGCATCCAGGTGATTGCTGCACGCTTGTAGGCCTAGGTGAGGTTACTTATCCATTTGCTTTTTTACTACAAGTGGTTGGAAAATGGCCACTCCTGATCCCTCCTGCTTCCTTGGCAGCATGTTTAGGTAATGAGCCAAGGCAGGGCAGTAATTTCGTGCTATCACCTGTTGTACTGTGCAAGCAAAGAGGAACAGAGAGAGGAAAAATGTGCCCAGCAGCGTGGTCTGACCATCTCTCAACAGATTGATGCATCTTCCATTTGTGTCATCTTCACGAGCTAGACCGCGGGGTCTGTAGACAGAGCTTAGTACCTGGAGGGTATAACTCGAGGCTGTTACGAGTCAGTCATCTGCATGGATTTTGTTAAATTTTTTGTGTTAAGGAAAAGCTAAAAAGTGGGAAATTCTTTTTAATGAGTAACTTCTTAGGTATATAATATGAAGTGTGAATTGCTGTGAGTCATTCATTAACTGTAGTTTGAATTAGCCGAGCAAGCTAGCTTGGTCAAAAGAAGTATTCACATATGGGGATGTCTCCAACCATGGAACTGAACAGGTGAGACTGGAAATCATAGGTTGCGTAATTGGGAACGATGACTGTGTGATTGTACCATATGGCACTTGTGGAGAGACATGACTTGTACTTTTTCTGCAACGTTTTTTGCTACCTTAGATCTGTTCAGCTCCTTCCACTTGTTCCAAATGCCAAGAAAGAGGTTATGTAAACTCTGTCCTTCAGTATTAATGAGGCAAAGAATGCTTTCTATTTACAAGAATCTTTACAAGAGCGTTCTTCTGTAGCACTTGCTGTGAGTGTATTTAGGAATTGTTGCTCCTCGGTCTCTTTGGACCCTTAGTAGCAGCCCTTCCAAATATTTAGCATGGAAAATAAACACTGATATTCAAGTAATCCAGAGTGAGAGAGAGGAATGTGCCAGGTTAAACTTTTTGAAGCAAGCACAGCCTGGGAGAAGTTCTCCTGTTTGTTTGGTGGAAGACATTCAAAGATCTTACTTTAAGAATCATAAGTAGGAACCATTTTAGGAAAAAAATCCTCAGATCTTATGTGTACCATTTGGTTTGTGCTTCATCATGAGTTCATGTGGGAGAGTTGTTAGAAGCTGCACTGGTGTACCCATCACTCTTCCAAGATATAATATGGACTTGTTGTGATTGTCTGGAGAAAATACTGTCTTCAGCTGTTCACTGTCATCCTTTCATAAAGAGAAGTCTCCTTCCATTAGGGTTAGGACACTATTGTGTCCACGTAGGTCCAGCAAGACCAGATACATGCAGTAAAAGGGGTTAGAAGCGAAATACCGGTATTTGTGAGGAGTTACACGGATTAGTCCTGGAACATGGAATTCCAGGGATGAGAAGTTGAAAACATTGTTTCATACAATGACAGCGAAGGCTAGGAGTAGTGGAGGTATCTTCATTACGGGCAAATACCCGTATTAGTTTACTAGAAAGGTAACTGCTTTACTGGCTGTAGTTTTCACTCCTGTGGAGTGAAGAAGAGTACGTTAAAAACTGTGCTGAGACTCCAGCTTGAATCACAATTTTTGTTTTATTCCTACAGAATAGAAGGACTTGAATTCCTAGATGAAAAGGAGCTGTTTGAACAACTAATGCAGCACTACTGCATCTGCTGGGCTTCAAAGGACAGCAGTAATCTGGGTAATGTTCTCCACCATCCAGGAGGTGACCCTTCACGTGGAGATTGTGTGGGAAGACTGGGGCTATATACACCAGATGTAGGACAGCAGTGTCCTGTAGCAGGAGTGGGGTCTGTTTCTCTGTCGGTGGGGCTGTGAGCACCTCCCAGGTGGTGTCTTGCGACTGTTTCTCCACAGCCTTGGGAGAGTTTGTGTAGGCATCTGAACTGCCCGAGAGGAATCCTGTCCGGTACAGGGGGGTTAGAATTTTTATACCGAAAGATGCCGTATGGGTTACTTTAAATAACTGCCTGCTTTATACTATCAGTGCTAATTGAAAGGTTTACAAATCCTATACATGTGAAGTGCCATATGGGCACATGGTATATGAAATCACAGTGTCCTGACAACATAAAAATAACTTTGTATTGCTTAGCCCGGTCTTCTGCTGCACTGCATTTACATCCGTCTGAGACTTCAGTTTTCCGTGCTGCTTTCTCCTGTGGGAAAAAATTCCATCTGAAGTTAACTCTTTCAAATGTTCCTTTTGCTCTTAAAATTCTGTCTCTCCTAGACTGGAATTTCTTTGAAACAGAGAGACTTGATTTATGCTTCACGTAGCAGGATGTATGTTGCTGCTGCTTAAGAAATAATAAAATCAAAAGAATTGTAGTTTGGGTGAAGGGTGGGTGTCTACAGCCATTATTTGTCCAAATTAGACAACTCTGTTGCAGAGTTTATCTCTACTTCTGCCTGCAATTTCAGTGACTTTAGTCTTTCCAGAAAACTTCTCTGGTTAAATGATGAAGCATATCTTAAGTCACAAAAGACACAGCTCAAAGGACATAATCAAATGTCTTATGCATGAATAAGCCTTAATCTAAAGCAGTTTTTCTTTATCCAGTGTGAATTTATTGCCCTCACTAACAGTGCTTTCCCCAGCTTTCTCTTTTTAATTCCATGGGCAGATCCTTAGTTCAGTAGCAGCCTTTGTGTTGTTTCTTCTGCCAGGACTAACTTCAGTCCTCCTTCAGCCTGGTTTGTTCAACTTAATTGCTGCATCGCAATCAGAAAAGGGTTAAAAAAGTACAGATCAACCTGTTTGCTAATTTCTTTCCCTCCCACCAAATCCTTTACATTTAAGTTTAAAAAAAAAAATATTCTCAAAGCATCATTCTTCCTGTGTCTGACTGTCCTAACAGTAGTGAAGGACAGGTGGTGGAGGAATAAACACTGGTTTCTCCCCCCCACCCCCCTTGCTTTTCCAATAGGTCTCGCAGACATCACATTCTAGTCTGTTTGCTGGAGGGAAGCCGTGGGCCCAGAAGCCCCAGCAACTGCCTTCTACCTGAGACAAGACCACAGAAACGCTGGGACTTTGCATGTGCCACCTTCAGTCTGTGCATCTGCGTGAGCGGCGCCGGTACGGAAGGCAGCGGGAGCTGCTGGCCGACTGTCCCGTTGGCCTGTGGCAGTTCTGAGGAAGCGTCGTTGCCCGTTGTGAGCAATCGTTACGAGGCAAGGCTCGCCTCCCGTTCCCAGATGTGTGGTGACGGACTTTCGTAAGATGTCAGTAATTCCTGTTTGAAAGCTTGCCTTCCTTAGTTTAAAATGGAAAGTAAAGTGTTCTTGGATTACATGATTTTCCTCCTTTGTCTTTTTGTGGATGTGCAAAATGCAATTGTGACAGAAAGCTGGAAAATCAGTGCTGGTGAGCTGCATTAATGGGTATCTGCACTGTGCATGGATGATCATGAACGTTAAATTGTGTTCATTTTCATTCTGTTCAGGTTTATTTTTTACGGAGCATCACCATGTTAGCTTTCTCCCAGCTTTTACCATTGCTGCAAGGCTGTCACTATACTAGGTATGTTCTCCTGGGGGAGGGGTGGAAGAAGGGGGGGATGTGATTCTTGTGCAATGATGTGCAAGAAAAACTCGATTATTTTAAACTAGACTTGATTTAATTAGGAAGGGCTTAGCTTGGCAGTTCAGCACTGGGATAGTAAAGGTAAGAAGGAAATTAATCAAAGTTTGCACTGCTTCTGGTAGTATCTTTACACCAGTTTCTCATTCTTCTTTCTTTCTTTCCCCTTAAAAGAAACAAACAAAATCCCAGCAGCAACAAAAGACTGTGCCCTATTGTTTGAAATTGAGTCTTGCAACCTTCCTATGAGAAAAATAATAAATGTTTAGCATTTATAATTTTGACTAGTGTCTTACTCATTAGAAATTACCTATTTGTATCTGGTTTAGTGACTATTTTTTCTCTTTCACCAAATGTCTCACCAAGAGTATTGTTTTTAAAGCAGTTGCAAGCATAAGCAACCATTTTTGTACTGTATATGACTTTCTGTACTGTAAAAATACCTGGCTTGGGAAATAGTCGACCTGGGCTTGGACTGGAGGTGTAAGGAAGGAGATTATTGGGATACCAGAAAAAGTAAACCATTCTTAGAAGTGACAATCATAATTTCAGAGGAACAGAAGAAGTGAAAAGAAATGGCCTTCCCTTTGCTGCCCTCCTCTCTGTCATTGATTGCAGTCACTGGTAGCTACAGGCCACCTCCTGCTGACGTTTGTCAAGCTGATGTCTGAAATGACAAGGCACAGAAATACGGTATCAGGTTAACGCTCTGTTCAGTCTTTGCAAAGTGTTCACGTAAACTCTCTGTCCCCAAAGGGAAGGGATGGACTCTTCGTGCAATTATGAAAGGAGCTTACAACCTTTGCTTCCTAGATAACGACATCAGTGGTGTGCTTATGCCTGCACATTTTCGATGCTTGGGCTTATCTGCGCCTCTCGTCTATTACGAGGCACGTGCGAGCTGCGTCTGCCTCCACGCTGACCCTTTCTCTCTGCAGATGCAGGAGACCAGCAGGGTGGGTGGGTGTCTCATTTTTTCACCTTGTTGTCCTTCTTGAGCACAGCAGCTGTGACCAGAGGCCACGGGGTTTGCCACTGGGTGGATTCCCACAGCAGCTGCCTGCTGTCTAGATGGGGAACTCGACTTGCTGATGAGCCTTTCTGCTTCTGGGGACGCAGGGGCGGTTAGCCTGCTGCCTTTAATGGCCTGCACCTTCTGGGGTTTGCCTTCTGGTTTCACACTGCTCTTACTTGGAGTTTTTGAATATTTTTCATTCCT